CAGGAATCGGTAGGTGGGGTCGTTACTGTACATCTCAACTGCGCTCACAACAGCCTCCGCTCTCCTGGTCCGGCACGCCACTGCGGCCGCGAGTTCCTACTTCCTAGTCGCGCTCGAGGCTGGCACCGATGCGCTCCTCTGTTGAGCCGACGCGCGGCGACGGCTAAGCCCAGGAGAAGGCAACGGGAGTCCGGGCTAGTGTATCCGAAGATGGCGACTAGGTGGATGGCGAGGCTGCAGAGGATGACGAAGGCACTGGACTAACCTTTCAATGACGTGTGGGCCTGAGCGCAACAGGTCAATGTGAGCCACGTTGAACTGCCATCTCAGCAAAACCTCTCAGCAAAACCAGTAATCAAAACCACTAGAAGGGGTTAAAGTCTGGTTTGAGAAAGTTTAGGGTGCTAGATACATGATTTTATAGTTCAGGGTGTGGAGTAGACACAACAGCAAACGTCAGGAGGTTATGTAGACTTTTTCCCACCTGAAAATGCGTACCTCGTCAAATAGCGTACGTAGAACAAGGTAGGGTGGCGCGCTTCGCCGTGCCCGTAGTGATAGCACATATAACCGTGTGCATGTTTGGGCTTTTATAGAAACGGCAATGCATTCAGTAGCGTGATATAGATTGCAAGGTTCACACGGATTTATTAGTTTACATATGTGCAATAGACTGAACCGCTAGTTACTCAACGTACATTAGTTAGGTCAGGCATTGCCACACAAATGTACAGGCTTGTACAGGAAGAGAGCATAGTTGTAACATCATGGTAAGCGAGATTTTGTGTGGCCGCCATGTATGATCATTTCACTTTGACATAGGAAATTTGCATACATATAGAGAAAACTACTAATCTGACATATTGGGTGGATTAAAGGAAAACACCAGCCGTTATGGTGTCACCTCGTCTCCTAATTCGAACAGCAAGAATCGAATCATGACTATTTCATGACCTTTGTTCTCCCTCTGCCATCTTCGTTTTTCAACTGCATATTAAGGTAACCATCAGAAGAGGACTTCGAAACAATCAAACATTTCTTGGAGAACCAAAGTTTGGAATGAGTTGTTTAAGCTTGTTAGCAATAATTTCAACACAGGTCCACATGTATAGAAAGTAAAAAGCCATCTTATATTGCAGACATGAACTTCAGGTGTTAAAGTTTGGTGACATTCCCACGGTAATTTAATCCAACACAAACATGATTTATGGAAGAACACACATAAGGGCCTGTAACCTGATTTCAATGAACTGAAATCAAGCTACATGTTTTTCAAAAAAAAAAATCAAGCTACATCAATATGGCTAATTTCTCAACTAAAATAATTTTAAGTGTCACCTGTAGCTATACTAAGATACGAAGTATCTGTGTGAACCTAACCTGTAGATATTCACAGACATCTCAGGGACCATTCCAAAACTAAGGCTCATGTGTAAGGGCTGAACTTCATGTCACCGACAGGCGACAGATACAACATACTCAAGCGGAAGTGGGGAACCAACTCCCTTGGCCACCCAATTTCATCAGCACAATCAGCAGTGGCCATTTCTTTTCCAACCAGAGCTGCATGTTGACAAAGAAATGAGAGCAGGAGAGTAGAGAAATTATGATTGAAGAACAGAAGTAGAGAACACTAGGAAAATAAACCAAATCACCGCTCATGACTGAGATAATATATGGATACAAATGTTACAACATATTCGATACACAACACAGATTTTACTCTGGGCGCACTTTATTTTCTATAATCTCTAATTTTCCTTGATCCTAAGATATTCATGTCATATTTGTAAAGGGTGGGGGGCAATGAATAATGAATACATTTGCTATATAATTAAAACAGCCAAATCATATAAAAAGTCTATCTATCTATTATGAGTGGCAAGGTACATTACATTGTGCTTTCTTAAAAGCAGAGTTAATTCTCGTTTAAAAAAAAAGAGTGGCAAGGTACATTGGTTGAGGAAGCTGTGCGACACATAGAACATTTGTAGCTGTATTGCCTACTTGTAGCAATATCTAAAACATAGTTACTGAATCAGGAATTTGATAAGTGAGGACATTATGTTGCACTTAGCTGCTGCTGCGTATTGAAAAGGAAAAGAACATTGTAATATTGGATCATACAATTTTGGCTGTTGTAGGAAAAATCACTATCTTTTCAAACCAATTGCAGTAATACTATAGCTTAACTAATCTAGGACAATATCTTTAACAGGTACTGGAATAAGGAAACAAAAAATTTGATTCGTATTTTTTTACGTGTCGAAGATCTTGAAAGCACAAGTACTAACATCGCTAATCGCTAACTTAGCTTACTACCTTGTACTGTTCACCTGTTCCAAGGAGCGCATCGCAGTATGGCTTGGCCACTGGCTTTTCCCGTGCTTCAGCAGGGCGAGCGGCAGCAGGCTTGGCCGGAGAGTAGTGGGGATCAACGGGGTCTCAATTTGGAGGCATCCTAGCAGGCCTCTCTTGGACCGGAGCCTCGCCGGTAGTCCCGTACGGGCCATGGCCATAGCAAGCGGCTTTTGCTGTGGATGGCGACGGGGATTGCGAGTCTGAGGAAGACGAAGCCCACATAGATTTCTGACGACAGATAGTCAAATGACAAAAGAAAAAAAATAGTAAGGAAGGTATGGATGATTGGATGAACCGACAGATAGTCAAATGACAGAAAATGGATAGTAAGGAAGGTATGGATGATTGGATGAACCGATTGATGGTTGGACTCACCAATGGCGACGAACGCGAGAGAGAGACCGTCATCGATGTATCCAACACGTTGGTGTCGATGAACATGACGGCGTGCGGGCGCTGTACGAAGTCCATCCGCGGCTCCCGCCGTCTCGTGCGACAGGCGGTCCTGCCTCCGTGCTGACGGCGCACACACGCGCGCACATAGTGATAGAAGGTACGGGAAACGATCAGGCACAAAGACAGGCAAGGGTGCGAAGGCGCGATAATGTTAGCTCCTTGCGGACCACCGCATCCACGTCGGGAAGCGAGGAAACAGCGAGAAGGCGTAGGAAGCGACGGAGGGGGCGAGGAGGGAGGGTTCGCTGCAGGCGATTTCTTGGCGAGAGACTGGTCTGCGGACGCAACCAGGAGTCGCGGATCCCAAGCGTGCTCCTCAAGGTGAACCGTGCCGGACCCGAGCATGCCCATGCTCAGATTAGGAGGAGGCGCGGGCGCGCGGCGTCCCGACGAAGTGCAGGGCGCAGCGGTGCGGGAGCCGAGGATTGGAGGGAGCAGGAGTGGAGGAGGCGTGGGCGCGCGCCGCCGCGACGGTATTGGAGGGCGCGGCAGTTTGGGAGCGGCGGCAGGGCAGTCCGGGAGCGGAGGATTGGAGGCGACGGAGGGGCCGAGGACTGGGCGATGACGTGGAGAAGCCTTGCGTGTTTGATTTTTTTTTTCGCACACGCACGGACTTTTTTCTGGGCGTGGAGCTGCAACGCTGGGCCCAGAAAAGCCACGCGGCTTTGAGGGAGACCGGGAGATGGCATTGACTGCTGGAAGCGCAGAGGCTATGGGAGAGGGAGCCGGACACGAGACAACGTGATTGGCTGATCGTATAGCTACAGTAATCAAGAGCGATGAGAAGACGCGGATTCAAGGAGCTATATATTAAAGAATATTAATATTTATAATATATAATTAGTATCATTAGATAGATCATTGAATATATTTTTATAATAAACTTGTTTAGAGATATAAATGTTACACGTATTTTCTACAAATCTAGTTAAAGTTGAAAAAGTTTGATAGGCACACATCCCATAATGTCATCTATTTTAGAACGGAGAGAGTAAAATACACTAGTGAAATAGAGCCTGGCTGGGGAGCGATGAGACGTATATGGAACGACCATATGATCACACGCTGGAAACAGACCTCATTCCTCTTTTGCCCCCCTCTCCTATGACCGGGTCAAAGTTTGTAGTAATTTGTAAAATGGAAATGCTCTAGAGAGGATGTCCGTCCGGACGCTTCTCGCCAAGACTGAGAATTGGCCAACAGGCCTCATGTCGTCTACCTTGGTTCCTTTATAAAAAAAAACTAGAGCGACATTTTCCATCCCGTGTCGGCCGTCGCAGTGTTTCCCACCTCCACGGGTGCCTCCACTATGCCGCCCCTGCTCTACTTCGCCATCGATGGTCGCCTTGCCTACTCCTACTCCTCTTCCGCCCCCTGACGCTGCTCCCACGCGTGGAGACCGCTCCCTCGGTTACCAGCTGGCCACGGAGGGCGTTGCGCACGTGCTCACGCTTGACGACGCCGACAGGTGCCGCCAGCGCAAGGAGAATCATGGGGCCCTGGCGTGGAAGCCCTCCGGGCTCGCCTCCTGCTACAGCTATGGCGCCTTGATGCAAACGGCGGAGGCCACACCGAGATACGATGCATGTTTCAAGCGTATATTTCAAATGTTTTAGAGGTATGTTGCAAGTGTTTTATCCGGATGTTGCATATATTGCAATGGCTGTACGCGTTAACACGTATGTTGCAAGTGTTTGTCCCTAACGTGTCATCTATTTTTCTGGATGTATGTTGCAAGTGTGTTTATCTGGATGTTTCGTATGTTTCACACATACGTTGTAAGCGTTTTATCTGGATTTTGCGTATGTTTGTAATGGTTTTCAAATGTTTTTGGAAGTGTTTCAGAAGTATGTTTCGGAGTATTTCATCTGTCATCGGACGTATATTGCAAGTTTTGTATCTAGATGTTTTAAAAGTAGATAGGATGTTGCGCATGGGATACGTGTGAGAAGCAGAAGAGGCGCTCGTGCAAGACGCGAGCGACGTAGGGGTGGCGTGGGCCCACAAACCGCAGGCGTGGGTGGCCATGCTAGCGCGGGCACGGAGTGCAGGCGCACGCGTACAAATCGCATGGACCACGGTACTGCTCGATGGATTCGTATCCATTAGACGTTCAGGCACCGACAGTTTGTAAAACTACTGTCATGTGAAAATAGAGAAAATAGAACAGAGAAGTAGAAACCATGCCTTCTCCTCGAATCAAGAACGCGGGGCAACGCAAGTCAAGAAACATTATACATAAGGAACCCCAGTACCCGAGAGCAGAGGGGAAGAAAGAGGAGGGAAGCACGATCACCGGTGAGAAGGCGTGGCCGAAGGGGACGGACGCCGAACTGCCGAAGGGAGCCTGCGTGGCCATCGCCAGCGCGTCCGAGTTGCAGGGCATGGGCCGTGTTACCATGCAAAGGCTCAGTCGAACGATGGTGGCCCATGGGCCGGTATTCTTTCCAGGCCGGAGGTGATCCACGGGGTTCAGGTAATTCCGGTTATTCCCAGCCCAACCGAAGATGCCATTGACCTAGAATTCCGCTTCGTCCTAAAGACAGAGGCGCACACAGGGCTGTGGCGGCGCCTTCTCCTCCCGTGCTCTCTCGTCGTGTCCACCCTCTCTCACTGACCCCTCAAACCAATCCACGGTCTTCCCACTGATTCCCCCGTCCGAGCCATTAGAAACCATCACGAATTGGCGCTCTGGACATTGGCCACCTCCGATGTGAGGCAACCTCAAGGAGAAGCTCATCAATCTCGCCGCTGGCCCTCACCTCTGCTTTTGCGTCGCTGCATATCGTCTCTGCATCCGAGTGTCGCTGCCTGGTGCTGCCTGTGTTCACGAGCTCCAGTAAGCCGAGCTGGAACTTGTGCGAGCTTCAGCCAAGTCAAGCTCGAGCCTGTCTAGCCAAGCAGAACGGCACGGTGGTGCTGGTCGACGCTTCCTCTGAGGAACACGTGCCGGTCGACGCTTCCTCTGGGGCACGGTCTCGAGTTTGGTCGGGAGATGGGTGGCAGGAGCTGCTGCGTCTGCAAGGAGGCGCCGCCCAAGTACAAGTGCCCCTCCTGCCGCACGCCCTAGTGAGTTCAGCCACAAGCCTTATCTGCCGTTGTGCTGCGTGGTTACATGTGCTCTCGCCAAGCGTAACGTTGAGGCGTGGCGTGTTTGTCAGTAGAGTAGCGGGTCTATCTCTGTTGAATTGACAGGCGCGAATTCATGTCCAGGTGACTGTATTTGCGCAATTTCTTAGGAAACGGGTTGACTAGGGTTCTTACAACAAAGTGATTGATTGCAGGGCGGGGGGAGACAGGGGGGGCAGGGCTTGGCCCCCTAACGTTGCATAGTTTTCACTACTATGTTTTATTATTTCTCACTAATTACTAGAGATTATAAATAAACAAGCTTTACTAACTGATTTTAGATTGCTTTTCTCAAACACATCTCTTGATTATCTAATGTTAAGTGATAGCTAAATAAAATAAATATGTGATGTGCATTGTTCATCTACGAATAATGTCTCTTCAATTCTTATCTTCAATTTAGATATTTACTTCTTCCATCCTAGTGTATTCTAAAAAAAAATGAGACAACTTAAGGGAATCCGTAAATGGCAAAACCCATAGATTTAGCTCAATAAAGATCCCCAACTAAGATGTTTCTTCTCAAATTATGGTATCCTTTTTTAACAAACTTTCTCAAATTTAAGTATTGACACCATGTACAATGCATTATATTTGAATACAAATTTTGAATTTATAATGCACTATATATTCCAGGATGGAGGGAGTAGCATTTTTCTAAAATGAAGAGATTAAAGATGATTTATTATAGTTTTTTTAAACCAACATCAAATTCCACAATTTTTAAGCCGACATCAAGGTCTAGTGAGGACACTATATAATTTTTGGCAACATTTAGTGAGCGTTTGGCCCCCCCTAGTTTGAATCCTGGCTCCGCCCCTGATTGATTGGGCGTGTCTGGATTATGGGCACCTGAAATTTGCTTGTAGCCTCTGACCTTCGATTCTAGCTTACTGTCCATACAATCAATTATACGGAAGTAATATCGCTACAATTCTAGCATTAAACATAGTGCTGTGTTTCATGTTTATTTTGGTGGAAATTTAAAGTAGATTAGTGGGAGATATAACTGAGAAATGCTGCATTATTCCAAAAACCAAATGTCAGCAACTTTTCCTAAATGAATGTAGCGTGCACATAAGGGCTAAGGTTGCTATTACCTTGAGGAGATTGGAGATATAAAGTTGAGCCACCGAGTCTTTTTTTTTTCAAAAAAAATAATTGTGGCTTCAGCTGGTGTTTCAGTATCATTTCAGCCTTCAATGCAATTAGGCTTTCTTAGGCTGCTCTACTTTATCATGTTTTCTAAGTTTATCTCCTGTTAACTAAATCAAGTCAAGATTATGCCCGGAAAATCTAAATTAGTGTTCACACTAAATATTTTGGTACTGGTTATATCATATATGCTACAGATTAACTAAAAGCATTAGCTCTCAATTTTTTTATTAGTTGAACCTAATTTACTGTCTCATTATTCCTTGCAGTTGCTCTGTCACATGCTTTAAAAAGCACAAAGGTACTTCTATCCCAAACTTGCTGTTTGTCAACCTTAAATTTCTTCAATTATTTTAATATATTCTTACAGGACTAAAGAGTAGATTGGTATGCTTTTATACTGTGATCTCCAACTTAGATTATTTCTCTTGTCCTGGGAGCAGTAGACACATGCTTACTGTAACAATCAAGTATATGAGATCCAGCTCCTTCATATGAATTGGCTGCTATTTGGTGGTAAATGTTCCTTTTTTTTTGCAGAGGAGTCTTGCCAAAAGACAGCGCCTCAGGAAGAAATTAGCAAGTCACCACTGCAGGCGGAAGTTAGTGAGTTCTCTAGCTTTGGGGATAAAACTATTGTAACTGCTTTCTTAACATACTGGGGCACTGGGCAGTGGGGACTTGTTCCAGTTGCAACATGGTATGAGGTGTAAATCTCGACTGTTATTTGCATATGCCTGTCCCTAATTGTTACATACTTTGGTAATTGCCTTGAGTGAAGATATCAACTTTGTTAGTTCCTAAAACAAGGTATAGATGTTCTTATTAGGGACTTAATTTTATTCTTGCTAACCATGCTTGTACAGCTTTGTGTGCCTTGTACAGCTTTCTTTTCTTTTTATTCATAAAGTCTTACAGTGGGGGCTTCCCCTGCTGTACTGTTTTTTTAAAAAAAAAAGTGTTATTACCTTGCTTCAGAGGTAATTTATTTTGTTATAGGAAGACAACATTCCTACTATTGGTGTCCGAAATGTCTGCCACATTTGTTTACCAAATAAAAGTGCTTGAACCAATTGTGTTCTGTATATCAGTTCATGCAGTCTTGAAGGTGTTTTGTATTAGATGGAATGATTTGTTAGCAAACTATAGGAATCCATGCCTCTTTATGTAATATAAATACTTCTGCAACATCCTGTACTCTGTTTTTATTTCTCTTTTCATTCCATGATTACATTTGTTATTTATCACTTAAAGTTGATTAAGATCATACTTAATGTATTATAACCGTATACTGATATGCCCACTATGAACATTTTGTTTAAAGTAACCACCCACATGGCCACAACCACCTCAAACTGTATACAGTGGAGCTATATTATTTCTTAAATCAAATTTATGTAAAATGGTTACCTAAAGTGTCATACAGAATGCTCTTTTTGCTTCATTATGTGTTTATGAATGCCTATAAATTGTTTAACTGATCTCCCTGTTTTTCGTCAGCACTGAACACCACATGCACCGCAAAATCTCCAAATACAGCATGCCCTACAAAAGCTCTTGAAGTTGAGAACCCAAGCTGGCTTGTTGACAACAATAGACTAAGGTCATTAGGTATGGGCATATGGCCTAGCTTACCGCCAAGGCACCAAGCTTGACTACATTTCTAGGAACTTCATATTGTGTGTGTTAACTAAAAAAAAAGGGATATTAGGATCATATTAGAATGCCCCTGTGACATACTCCAACTTCCATCATAAACATCCAATAACCAACATGCACATCTTCACTTGTGGTTTATAACATGTAGGGAAATCGTCAATGAATATGACTTAGTGCAGCTAATATAGGGAAACTTATATTGACATAGATATACCTTAATGCAATGATACACAGCTGTCCTGTGTATTCTACAAAAAAAAAAGATATATACCTTAGACTTTTCATGTTTAAATAAGTTCTGATCCTTCATGCATCATGTGTGAAGTTGTTTATTTGTTCCGTCTTCCAAAAAGTCACTTTATTCACCCTTTAAGATGTTGAGGTAATTACTGTTGTCACTTGGACTGATAGAAGTCTGCTAGTGCTGAATTCATGAATGCCAAGCTTTCTTTCTGAGTGTTTTTACCTGAACTTTGTATCCTTCACAGCGGAACTGAAAGGGATCCAAGATGCTCTCAGGGATCCTGAACTGCAGAAAATGATACTTAAAATTGATGGGTCTTTGGAACCAGAAAAAGTAAGTCTTCATTCACTTGCAACAATTGCTAAGTTTGACATGTGTTTAGATTCGTACTTTTGCCAGCTGCCCAAATAGCACTCGACATACCTTACATAACTGCATTTGATTCAGAACAAACACTCAGGATGAATACAGGTGCAAATTTTTTTCTTTTCCCACGGGAACAGTGTACATCACCTCAATTTCTTGTCCTTTGTCATGACTTGGGTATCTTTTTGAGTGGTCGATAGTCTCCAAATAGGCCTATGCGAAGCCGCAGATATGGGTCTAAGATCCTGGCTTATATTTCTTAAATTTTACCCAGTTTTCTTTCTTTCATTATGTCACATTAATTTGTCTGTAGGAATTGGAGAAATTGATGGAAGGTCAAGCTTTTCACCAGTTAGCTGATAAGGTCTTCAGCCATCTCACTTTGCCTCAGCCTTTGATCTTATTCTTTCTATTGTAACTCTACACATCATATATCTATCTTTTAACCATTTAACTCCTGTATTGCAGATTCTTGACATTGTCAGCCCACAAGAATAATCGCCTGCCCTGTTTGGTGGGATTCTGATGCTGGAGTAAATAGAAGCATCAGGTAAACAAGCGAAAGTGGACGAGCTGATCTCTGTTTTCCTTTTTCCCGGATGGGTTGACTTTAGAACACAACATCTTGAGTCGCCTGTTTTTCCATGATGGGGTATGCTTTTGAACACATATTGTGTCGCCTGGTGAAAGGAAATTAATGTTGCTGAAAAATCTCTCTTGCCAAAGATAGATATTTCTTCTGTGGTTGCATTATGCGTTTCATTTCAGAATGTCGATTATCGTAGCTGTATTTTAGTGTGGTAGACAGCGACTCTACACTGACTACTGAATCTTGATGAGAAGATGATGCTTCCATTGACCAATATAGCAGCCATATTTCCGCAACATGCTTTTGACACACGAACTAGCTTTTGACACATGAACTAAGTGGAACGATCATTGCGTGTCTCGTGGCACTTGTTTTTAACATTTCCTTTTGAATTATCTCGTTTCTGAAAATTGAAAAACATGCCGTTAGAGTCCGAAATTGTAAAGTGGACGGGCTGACTGGGGTTCGAAGCCCGATCTCCGCTTTCCAGTTGAACCGCTTCTGTCCCCTCTCGCCATCAGATTCAAGGATAGACCGTCGTGGCACCGTGTCCCTCTTTAGAAGCGGGCCAAGAGCTAACTGCTTTTTCTAACACTACAGCTAACTGCATTTTATAATACTACAGCTAACTGCATTTTATAAATACTACCAGAAAAGTATACAAAATAATATTAATATTTATCGCATCAATCAAAGAGGTAAATTATGAAACTTCATTTTATAATGATGCTAATTTGATATCATAATATTGTTTTTTTATATAAACTTGATGAAATTTTAATGGTCTAACTTAGGATAAACTGTGTAGCATACACTGCACAGCTTCTAGGGTCACGATTTCCGTTGGGCCGTTCGGGCATCCATGGAGACGGCGAAGTTAAAAACGGGTGAAGCAGCAGGTGAAATTTGAAAAAGGCTAGCGGTCAATCGGTTCCGTTTCTGGCCTGCATCACGGTCACGATTTCCTCAGCGGCAGCACAGAGCAGTACAGCCGATATAAACACGCCCTCCCCGTTCCGACCGCTTTGCCGCTCGGACCACCTCCTGGCCGCGCGTCCGCTACCCAAATTCGCCGCCACCGCTCCCCTCGCCGGGGCGGCGCCGCACCCTGCCGCCTGGTAATCTCTCGCGACAGCGGCAGCTAGGGCGTCCCAGATCCTCCGCCCATGACTCAGACCCTGGCGCCGCGTCCGCGCGCCGAGATAGGGTTTGCTTCTTGCGGCCCCCGGCCTCGGTGAGGTGGGACGGCAAGGGCAAGGCGGCGGGGCGGGGGTGGAGCTGTGGGGCGCGGCTCGCCGTCGGATGGACGCCGATGAGGCCGCGGGGAGCAGTAGGAGGATGGATCTGAACCTTTACCTCGGTCTTTTCCGCGGCCCGCGCCCGCGCCGCTCTGACCTCGGCTCCGACCTCGCCCTCAGCACCCCGATGCCTTCCTCTCCTTCGTCCTCCGCCGCGTCCGTCGACGCGCCGCCGCCGCCGCCGCCGCCGGAGCCCCTGCACCCGCCGTACTCCCCCTCCCGCGCCGACCTCTCCCCTCCGCCGCCGGAGGTGTACTCCCCCTACAACCCCGAAGATTCGCCTGTTCCGGATGCGCATCTGTCGTACATGCAGCCTCCGGAACTGCTCACCCCCGGGCCGCGGAACATGCCGCCTCCGGAATCGCTTACGATCTCGAGGATCCGAGAGGGACTTCGGGAACTTCGGGACGCCCTCCATCCGCCGCCCCCGCTGGTGCGGGCCAGCGAACTGCTGGGGTGGGAGGACCGGCCTTCCTCGTCGACGGCCTCTTCAACTTTCTTCCCAGACACTGCCGACAGGTACAGGCGGCTGCTCGAGCAGACTTCCAGCCGGTGGCTTCGCCCGAGGCGGTTCAGGTCTGACCTTCCACCCCTCAGCTCCGAGGCTCGCCCCTCTGGGCAGGACGCCGCCGAGCCGGTGCCCCAGCATGAGCCTGCAGCTGATGATACTAATGAATTAAACAAGGTGTCTGTCAATGGCTCAGAATTAGGTGCCTCGCAGGATTTCTCTGAGGAACGTGGCAAGACTGCTGCCGCATTCGAGTGTAACATATGCTTTGAGATGGCTAGTGAGCCGGTTGTCACTTCTTGTGGCCATCTCTTCTGCTGGCCGTGCTTGTACCAGTGGCTGAATGTTTACTCCAACCACAAGGAATGCCCAGTCTGCAAAGGCGAGGTGACTGAGGCAAATATTACTCCTATATATGGTAGAGGGAATTCGGCTGCAGAGAAGACTGTGGAGGATGGGAAGCCACCAGGTCCTACAATCCCGCCGAGGCCACATGGAAATCGCCTTGAAAGCTTCAGGCAGCAATTCCATAATATGCGACCTATCTCAAGAGGGCTTGGTGAGGCGCATGGGATACTGTCATCATGGAGGCGTCTTCTGGATCAGCAGATTATGAGCAGCGTGAGTAGGTTTGAAGGGCCGTCTGAATCAGCCACGCAAGAAGTAAATGAAATTCGTCAACGTGCTCGCCTAAGAGGATTAGCGTTGACCACAAGGATGAGAGCAAGGCGGCAAATAGAAGCCCAGATGCGTCCTGATGGTTCTTCCACTAACCCTGATAATGGTCTGATAGGAAACAATGCATCAGAATCTCTGACAGGAAACAATGCATCAGAATCATCAAGACGTTCAACAACACGCGTACCAGATGGACTTGAATTGTTGCAACGCCTTGCTTTTGGCACAGAAAGACTAGCTAGTGCCATGAGTGACTTTAGAAGAATTGCTTCACCAAGCCAATATGGAGGATCTGCTTCATCATCGAATCCTCAAAACAATGAGCCAGCAGTCGATGGAGCTCGCATGGCTGGAGCACCTTCTGCAGATCAAGCATCTAATTCGAGCACTGCTGCTTTGATAGAAGGGGATGCTGGTATCTCTGAGAGTGCAGGAGAGCCTAGCAATGCAGGCTCTTTGAGATCCTTGAGGAGGAGAGGGAGGAGCAATGCCTTAGGTTCATTGGATGTGGATGGTGGAGGCCTCCAACGGAACAAGAGACGCAGAATGAACTGAACCCTCTTGATATCTGTGTTTGTCCCAAACCACACTTGGCCTCCTTTGCTGATTTCAGTTGTATTTCATGACTTCAGGTGATATCAGCTGCATTGTAGCATGTTGTAGTTTCGTCTTTTATCTGTTCACTAGGTTTCACTGAAACAGTTCCTTGTTCAGTTTGCTCTGTAGCCTGTCAGCCTGTGCCCTCACCAGTTTCAGAATCGAGTTGTTCTTGCTATCCATACAGAGGAAGTTTAACTGTGTTGTTGGAAAGATTTTTTATGTTCATAAATTGAATGCTCGATTGTGCATTTTTTGCAATACCATTTTGCCAACTGAGGCATTCAACTGGAGGTGTTATTTGTCAACTGATTCTAAGCCACAAAGGAGATCTTTAAACATATTGTATATAGTGAAATACGAGTATATGGAATCTAGGAAATGGACTGCATTTGTCGTTTGCCAGATACAGGGTAACAGGGATTTTTTTTTTTGGAGTCCGTTTATTAAGTTATTTTCATTATAATATATGATTCAGTTCAGTTCTTAAAGTTATTTTCATTATAATATATGATTCAGTTCAGTTCCTACTGAAGGTTCGGGTGAAAGGAAATGGTGTCCTACAGGCTACAACTTGTGTGATCTATGAAATTATTTTAATTGAGAGGAGGGGAGAGGAGGTAACTGATACTCCTATTATCATACTAGTCTTCAGACTACCTTTGGTAGGCATAGCTATTTTTCAACAAACAGTTCATTGACAAGTTGAGACCAATCAACAACAGCAAAGACTGGGAATGGAGTTCAAACACTGATTTATTTAAAGATTGTGCTCTGGACTTTTTTAGTATTTTTTCCCCTCTCGTCCAGCAGCCTATTTACTGCCATGAAAATAGTCTATTTGACCAGAGATTCTTCCTCAAATCAAAACTCATATATTTGACAAGGATTACACGAGTATTCCCTCCATTCCAAGCCCTTTAGACTTTTCTAAGAGTATTATACATTCACAGCACATGTAACTAACTGCGGCATCCTTGGATTTATTCATAATTTACCTGTGGATTACATTCACAGCTAATAGGGTCAGTGGTAGAAGAGGACCCAAAAAGAAAAGAGGGGTGTGTGGCAAGCAAGTGACCGTGGCGTGTAGCTCTATATCGATCTTATTTGTTGTTCGTACATCTACAAAGACACTCTAGATTCTACTTATGTCCCGGCCAAATAAGAGTGTGGTCAGCCAATTGATAGCCACATAGAACCTATTCCTCCAGCTAACAACACGGGTTAAGTATGCCGAGCGCCAGATGAACCAGCTTACAAATCCTGCAAGAGATATCCCTCTTGACTCCTGCCAATGGAGAAATAAATTTGTTTTAGTAAACCCATGATCAGCTAGTAAACTGTCAAAGCTTGCAAATAGAGAACATCAACCAATAACTGACCTTGCTCTGCCTCAGATCCACTAGAGCTTTGTATCTTCCAACAGTTGCCATGCTGCCTAGATGCTTGTACACAAAGGGCCGACCCAGATCTGCTTCAGTCTCAGAGTTTGCATGCCCTCCTCCAGCTTTCATGACATGATTGAGCAGGCTTGCCAGGTACTTGCCTTGTCGTTCCGCAACCTGCTCATGAGTAAAAGTAAAAGAGTTATCTTATTTAACAATTAACATCAACTCTTCTGAAACAAAATAAAGGAATCACAGAATCGCACAAGGGCGAGTGGAAAAAATATCTTGCTCAACAACATTTCTTATGAATGTAAACAACTGTATCATATAAATAAGGAAGTGGAACAGAAATATCTGCAACTCAATTTTTCATGTATATCCCTACATTTGTTTCCTCTCCAAATCTGTTTTTCCCAGTGCTTCAGAAACCAATGCAGGGTGGCCATACCGCCGTAGTCACATGCAAATGTTCTGTAACTGACTTGTACTGCAGCAAGAAGCATGAGACTACCTGAGCTAAAGCAGGGAGAACTTCCTTGCCGGTGTTCTCAAGAAATCCACTGCAGTCACCAATGGCATAAACATCCTGAACAGAAGGGACACGTAACCACTCATTGACACCGATCCTGTCAACATTGAAAAACCTTGTAAAGATCCTAGAACAGGACAGTAACATGGCATCAGTATTTGCTACAAACACATAATACCCACACAAACTACACAAGATAATTTGCGTGCGGATTATTTAACTTGCAGCCCGGTCAGTATATGATGGCACATAGATATACAGTTACTCATAAAAATGTGTGTACACAGACATACACATGGATAACTGACTCAAAACATGATGTATTGATGCTCACAGACACAAAAGAATTATACCTTCCACCAGGTGACTTAGGAAATGGCAGCGACTTAACGAATGGTGAAGCACCAACTCCGGTGGATCATACCAGTAAACCACAAGGAACTTCCTCTCCATTGTCAAGAATTATTTTGTTGGGCTGTACATCCTTAACAATTCCTTTCACAAGCCTAACACCTGACTGGTGGGTGAACATACACAAACAACTTATTTTTCAGATGCCAGATAATATGAGAAAGAACAGCATCCAAACCATTAGCAGATATATCACATTCATATGCTATGTGATTGTCAGTGTGCTATATTTGGAAATCTGCAGTTTCAAAACCTTTGGTCTGTTGAAGCCTTGTAGGCAAAAGTGACATGATATTATGCAGAGAAGAAACTGTTAACCTTAATTAGTTGGTTTGTAGCATATTGCCTGAGTCGAACATCGAATGATGACAATATCTCATTTGCCTGAAATGATAAGACAAGTTAACTGATATCAGAGTGCTCAGTTAAAAAATAAATGGTAGACTAGAAAAACAACAGCACAAACCTCAATCAGGGTCACATGGACATAATCCTTCACACGCGAATAACGTTGTTTGACATCTCGTATAATAAAATCACTAAGTTCACCACTAAATTCCACCCCTGTTGGACCACCTCCAACAACAACACAGTGCAATAGTCTGCGCTTTTCTTCTTCTGAAATTCCTGTTTAGTCATATTGCATCGGTCTATCAGTGCTTTACAATACTCAAGTGGATATTTAGGTATGAGGAGACAAGATATTTTATGGTTTTTTATAGCCAACCAATTAAGTCCCACCTGGTTGTATTCCAGATTCTACTAGATCAGGCAATTATAAAATAGAACATCACTAATAAGAAAGTAAGAACAAGAAATAGTGTGTACTCATAGAAGTTTTGTTCCAGTGAGAGGTGGTTAGCACATGTAGTATGCCGAAAAAGTAAAGCTAAAGCAAGCATACCAGGGACATCAGACAACATCAGATTAAGGAGGAGCCGCCTCCGAATCTCTTGAGCATGGTGAACTTCGCGAAGAAAGATCGCATGGTCGGTAACACCATGAATCCCAAAAGTTGATGCCTCAGCTCCACAGGCAAAAACCAACTTGTCATAAGCAACCTTGAATTTCCATGGCTCCAAGGAGTCTTTCTCACCATCTGTAACTGTTTCGCAATCAATCTAAATGAAAAAGGAGGTGAATAAATAGACAGAACAGAACTGCTGCAGATAGAAAAACAAATGTTGGAGGCAAATGTCCATGTAGCATCACTGTATCAATTAGACATGTAAAGTTAATACATGGTATTTATCTATATACTAGACCAAAGTAGATGGTAACTTTGTAAAACATCATATCTTTGCGCAACTCTTTGAAATGCATCAACCTTTGATCCAGAAAAATTCCGAAGCGAGTTAAGAAGCTATGCACACATTACTTAATGGTGCCAAATGAACTAGAACAATGATGAAGCATGTGCATAATGTGGATCATCATCTTCGCAGACATACAGGACATGATGAGTGAATGCATTGTAAATGTTTTTGGTTCAAGGGAAACGATCCAAGGCTTGCACGGTACAGAAAAAGATCCACACTAACCATAGTGTTGAACGAGTCAGAACAAATAATTGATCTCGAACTTTGTACTTAAATGTTAAAAATGTTGTGGCAAAAGGCCACTTTCTCTACAGATTGCTAGGCTGCTGAACATGCTTATGAATTCATGGTGTCTAGATGAGTAAAGCTAAGATTCCTCCTTTTTCTCCAGACCTGTACCCAACTAATCCCAGATACACCACCAGTCACTGATCTACTGAAAAGGTAGAAAGCAGATATGTAGAGTACTAGCATAAATGCCTTTTGAGCATTTCTCCAAGAATCTAGGAACACTGATGCCCGCACACACATGTGTGAAAGCAACAGCAGTTGGTAGCATCCGACTCGCACGCTCACACCAAAGCGGGGAGGGGGCGGGGATCTCACAGTGTGGCCATCGGGGTCAACGCCGATGCAACGGGCGAGGAGGAAGTAGGAGCCCGGCGACTTGGACACGGCGGGCTGGATGCGCGCGACCGGCTCGGCGACGGAGCGGAACTCGAGCGTGCCGACGCAGGTGGAGGCGAGCAGCGGCGTGAACACCATGTGGTTGCGCGGGGCGACGCAGACCACGTCGTAGCCTTTCGTGTCGAGGTCCTTCATGAGCCGAGACCCCGCCCACCCTGTCCCCAACACCACCACCCTGGCCTTCTCCCCCTTCGCCGTCGGCCCCAGTCCAGGGAACCCCTTCGCCGCTTCGTCCCGCGTACCCGCAGCCGCCGCCCCAGCGGCGGCGGTGGAGAAGGGCGACCAAGGTTGTTGTTGGTGGTGGCGGTAAGCGAAAGCGCTCGGGCCCGCGCGGCCGCGGCGGGTGAGCGAGCGGAGCAGGGAGGAGGCGGCCATGTCTGGCGGACGCTACCGCGCGAGAGATGTGAAGCGTGGTGACCACTGACCACAGCGAGAAGTGAGGCGACTTACGAGCGCATTTCGTTGGACGCCGCCCGTGGCGGGTGGGGTGTGGGTCGGCGGCCGGGCCGGTGGTCCCGTTCGATCCGCAGGCGGCAGGCCTGAGAGATCGGAGTGGCGTGGATGGCGCTGGCCGTCGGATCATCTCTTGACTGACCTGATCGGTCAGCTGCAGGGGCGGTCGTTCCAGGGGCCTGTTTAGATGCCGAAAAATTCGGCAAAATAACATTGTAGCAGTTTTTGTTGTTATTTAATAATTAGTGTTCAATCATAGTCTAATTAGGCTTAAAAGATTCATCTCGTGGATTTTGTCTAAACTGTGTAATTAATTTTATTTTTTATTTATATTTAATACTTCATACATGCGTCCAAAGATTCGATGTGACGGAGAATTTTGAAAAATTTGGTATTTTGGGAGGGAAACGGTACCTAGATCGACCAAGGCGCTTTCGCCGCCGCGTTTGCGGTGAGCCGGTGAGCAGAATTGGACGAGTTCGCCCCCAAATCTCCGAGATTATCTGGACACCGCCACGCGTCGCGAACCACATCCACCAGTGCCGTGCTCTGCCTCTCGGCCGCCACACGACCCCTCCCTCACCCGCGTAGCCCTGCCCGGACCGCGCCCACCAACGCCGGCCCCACCAACGCGTGCGGGCATCGTGCACCAGTTCCACGGCTCCACCCACTCAACAATCCCCGGTTGCCCCGGTCTCGGTCTCAGCCTCTCTCCCCATCCCCAAATTCGCTTTCGCTCCGCCCCGGCCGCCGCACCATGGCCGCCTCGGCCTCCGCCTCAACCTCGTTCTTCTCGCCGTGCGCCCTCACCTCCAAGCTTGGGGTAGGGCACGCGTCCTATGTCTCCGGACGCCGCGCCAACGTGCGCCGGCGCGGCCGCCTCTCGGTGGTGGCCGTACAGACGGGCCCGCAGAAGCCGTCCCCGTCGTCGTCCCAGGCCGCCGCGGCGGAGGATGAGGCGGACGCGCTGCAGAAGCTTCTGAAGAGGGAGTACAAGTACGGGTTCGTCTCCGACTTCGAGTCCTTCTCTATCCCCAAGGGGCTGTCGGAGGCCACCGTCCGCCGCATCTCGGAGCTCAAGGCGGAGCCGGCGTGGATGCTGGACTTCCGCCTCGCCGCCTACCGCCGCTTCCTCACCATGGTCGAGCCCACCTGGAGCGACAACGAGTACGCGCCCGTGGACCTGCAGTCTATCTGCTACTACTCCGCGCCCAAAACCAAGCCCAAGCTCAATAGCCTCGACGAGGTCGACCCGGAGCTGCTCAAGACCTTCGACCGCCTCGGCATCCCGCTCACCGAGCAGAAACGCCTCACCAATGTCGCCGTCGACGCCGTCATCGACTCCACCTCCATCGCCACCACCCACCGCGAGGCGCTCATGGCCAAGGGCGTCATCTTCTGCTCTATCTCCGAGGCCATCCGCGAGTACCCGGACCTTGTCAGGCGCTACCTCGGCAGCGTCGTACCACCGGGCGACAACTACTACGCCGCCCTCAATTCAGCGGTGTTCAGCGACGGATCCTTCTGCTACGTGCCCAAGGACACGGTCTGCCCCATGGAAATCTCGACCTACTTCAGGATCAACGACAAGGAGACTGGCCAGTTTGAGAGGACTCTGATTGTGACCGATGAGAGAAGCACGGTTAGCTATTTGGAAGGCTGTACTGCACCGGCATATGACTCGAATCAGCTCCATGCTGCGGTTGTGGAGCTTGTATGTGAGGAGGGGGCAGAGATTAAGTACTCCACGGTGCAGAACTGGTACTCTGGTGATGAGGAGGGCAAAGGAGGCATTTATAACTTTGTGACAAAGAGGGGACGGTGCAAAGGGCGGGGTTCGAAGATTTCATGGACACAGGTTGAGACAGGATCTGCTATTACATGGAAGTACCCAAGCGTTGAGCTCATCGGGGATGACAGTGTTGGAGAGTTCTACTCAGTTGCGCTTACAAAGGATTGCCAGCAAGCAGACACAGGGACGAAAATGATCCACAAGGGGAAGAATTCACGCAGCCGCATTATATCCAAGGGCATCTCTGCAGGGAAGTCAAGGAATTGCTACCGTGGCTTGGTCCTGATGAACTCCAGTGCGGAGAATGCTTATAACTCTTCACAGTGTGACTCATTGCTGATTGGGGATAATGCGGCTGCGAACACCTACCCCACCATTCAGGTAATTGACTCTTCCCTTCTGCACGGTTTGACATGTAAGGTTCAATTACAGTGTCTAGACTGATATGACAAGCTTTCAGTGCTCTGTTATTCTACGTGTAAATAATTACCTTCCATGCACATGTTATGAAGCATATAGACTCGGCTTAAAATTGGCACTTAGGAATAAAATCTGATGATTTGATTAATTCGAAGGTACTGTATAATCACCTTAGCATGAACTAAATTGAATTTAATTATATTTCTACAAGGATTATGTTGACACATATTTACCATGTCAATGCTGCTGTCTTCTAAGATGGTCCTTTACCTACTAGCAAACTGTTGATCTAGCCTTATAAGTTTGCAGCAGTAAGGAAAGAAGGGAAAGCTAGAAATGTTTGCATTTGTTGACGGAGAAACGTAAACATTGCTTTGATGTTAAATTTAATAGGAAAATTGATGGTATATTATAAATGCTATATAATTAGGATATATTTATTTTGATGTTTGTAACTTAAATCATATTGCCTTCATAACTCCAGATTCTTTCTTTTAGGTAGACATAGTGCAAACTTTGATATGACTTGAAAATCAAGGATTGTAATTGTGTGCTGTTGTAGTATGGTTTGCGCCTTTGCGGCAAGTAATACAGCTGGGTTGTTCATGAATACGATTTGTGTGGAAATATTCATAGATGACTTTTTAGCTATCGTTAGGATTTGATATACTTGATGACTTAATCATGAAGTATATGGTTTTCAGTCAGTACTTATCTAGCAGTGAAATACATGGCCATGAGTTCCTAGTCAGTAGCATCAAAGGCATCTACTTCAAGATTTGATGGCCAAATCTCTATTCAGTTGATTTAGTGTGAGATTTTAGTTATAGTATCTCTCTGATGTCACTTAAAAAAAGCAAGTGATAAAAAATATGTGGTTTTTGGAAAATGCAATTGCAACTGAGATGCATGGTTTGAACTTTGAAGTTTAGTGCTAAGGAAGGTTCAATCATCGTGGAGATGGAACAAGATGCCTGTGTTCTTTCTCTCATATCCTATGAATCTGCAATACATGAGTAATTATATGTAATTTAATGGCAAACACAAGTTGTCTTGTCACTGGCAAGCTAGCGGTGTTTACGCTCTAGCGTTCTAATGAACCAAACACTCAGAACATGACATCCTCTAGTACCATTAGCCCTTGAATTTCATCCTTGCATGGATTCAGGGTCCATTCTGAACATAGTTTTTTCCACCTTCTGCCCTCTATCAATGTGACAAAACTTTGTTGATAACAGGTGGGTTGCACTAGTGGCCGTGTTGAGCATGAGGCAAGCACTTCCAAAATCGGAGAGGATCAGCTATTTTATTTCCAGCAAAGAGGGGTAGATCATGAAAAGGCTGTTGCCGCCATGATTGGTGGATTCTGCAGATCTGTTTTCGAGCATCTTCCCTATGAGTTCGCACAGGAGGTGGACGCACTCATGAACCTGAAACTTGAGGGATCAGTTGGCTAATTTGTTGGCTCAGCGACTGCGTGTAATACTCCATGACAGTCAACTACCTAGAAAATCCATGTGTACAGCAGTACGAGAAGAATAAAGTGCACGATATATATACATTTCCTGGCTTGTTGTAATACTGAATGTTGATGGCCTATGGCAATTGGCAACGAAGATAGCAGTTGTGCCTGCTTGTCTTCTGTTTGCCCAGTTTTTGCTACTGCTGTAAGCGAGCTCACATGGCTTGCCTATACAAGAATGGAAATCAATGTGTTGGCGTTATAGAACTGGTATATCTTCCGGACCTGTTCGCTTCTCTTATAATCCATCTTTTTCAGTTTATTTTTTCAGTCGGAATAGTGTTTTTCTCTCAACAAATCAGCCGCAACAGTGATTTTTCTCTCCCGATAAATCAGACGGAACAGTGTTTTTCTATCGCAACAAATCATCCGGACTCGTACCATGCATCATTTATTCATTTCTGATCCTATTCTTGTTTTGAGAGTCATATGTGCCAACGGAAACCATGACTAGCGTTTACATGTATCATTTCGTGTCAGGCGATGGTATCAGGTATTTAGGGCTTTTACATGTACCATTTCGTGTCAGGCGATGGTATCAGGTATTTAGGGCTTTTACAATTTGCATGTATCATTTCGTGTCAAGCGATGGTATCAGGTATTTAGGTTAGTGAGAAATAAAAGGTTCTTGCCTCTTGGCGATAGATTAGGTATGTAGGTTAGTGAGAAATAAAACAAGTTAGTTTCAAAAGAAAGAAACAAAACAAATCGTGACACCTTTAATATCATGAAATCCTGCAGATACATATACAAGCACGATGTTCTTTTCATTTTACTAACAGAAACAAAAGCATGGCGAAACTGCGAGATTACCGTTTCGTTGAACTACTCTTCCAGAGCACTAGCGGCGAGAGTACCCATGTCATTTAGGAGTGCTATACATCTCTGACACAACATTAGCTCGATATAATAATAGTAAGTTCACAAGCCAAAAGGACGCAACCACCAACCAATCTGCCTCTCGTTGTCTCCAATCGTCCGCGCGAGCTGCACGGCCGTCGAACATTATCCGTCACCGGCTCGCACCGAGAGCGAGGCAGCGCCACCGCCGCGAGGGTGGAGGATGGAGTCGGTCGGCGACCCGCGGGAGGGCCCGTCGACGGAGCGGGCGTTCGAGGTGAAGCCCATCCCGCCGTGGCCGGAGCAAGTGACGGCGCGCGCCCTGGCTGCGAGCCTCGCGCTGGGCGTGGCGCTCAGCGGCGTCATGATGAACCTGGTGTTCACGTCGGGGATCATCCCGTCGCTCAACATCTCCGCGGCCCTGCTGGGGTTCTTCCTCCTCAAGGCGTGGACAGGCCTGCTCGGCCAGATGGGCGTGCCGCACCGCCCCTTCACCCGCCAGGAGAACGCCGTCGTCCAGACCTGCGTCGTCGCCTGCGCCAGCATGACGTACAGCGGTAAGCGATCTGGCTGCCCGTTCCTGATCTCGTCTCGTAGTCGTTCCTGTGTACTCGTCTCGTAGTCGTTCCTGTGTATGCACGGCAACGGCATTGCCATCGTTGCCCGGTCGGTGGCGTCGCCATGCGTGACATCGTCGATGCGCTCGATGCGCTGCGTGTAATCTGCAGGCGGGTTCGGGTCGTATCTTCTCGGGATGGACCGGGAGACGGCGGAGAAGACGAGCACCGCGAGCATCCCCGGCGCGAATATCAGCGAGCCGACGCTCGGCCGGACGATGGCCTTCTTCTTCCTCGTCAGCTTCGTCGGCCTCCTCGTCATCGTGCCCATGAGGAAGGTACGTAGGCTCTGACCGACCACCAACCATCACACGACGAGATCACCGCGTCCTGACGTCACGTCCCTCCGTCGTCCGATCCCACCGGTGAACAGACCATGATCATCCGCCACCGGCTGACATTCCCGAGCGGCTCGGCCACGGCGCACCTCATCAACAGCTTCCACAGCCCCCACGGTGTCATGCAGGCAAAGTGAGTGGCAATGGCACATGAATTGGTAGCCTGATGGTGACGTTCTTGGCGAATTCTTGGAGCTGATGGATAGATGTTGCTGCATACGTTTCTGCTGATCACAGGAGGCAGGTGTCGCTCGTCGTCCGGTCGTGCCTGGGGAGCTTGCTCTGGTCCATCTTCCAGTGGTTCTACACCGGAGGACCCAACTGCGGCTTCACTTCGTTCCCGACGTTCGGGCTCACCGCGTACAAACACGGGTAAAGGGTCGGTCGGAAAATCGACTCCACGAATTCACACGTCTCATTTCAATTCAATCCACGGATGCACTGTTTCTGATGCCTGCAGATTCTACATCAATATGAATGGAACTTACGTTGGTGTGGGGATGATCAGCCCTTACCTGATAAACATCTCGATGCTCGTCGGCTCCATCATCTCCTGGGGGATCATGTGGCCCTACCTCCAAACCAAAAAAGGCATCTGGTACGACGCCAATCTCCAGGAAACCAGCCTAAAGGGCCTCAACGGCTACAAGGTGAGAACCGCCACTCTCTCTGGAGCCCGAGGCATGACTGATTGATTAGCTCTGACTGACTGCATGATAGTACAGGTGTTTGGCGCCATAGCTATGATTCTCGGCGACGGCATCTTCCAGCTTATCGTGATCTCGCTGAGGACCATACACACCATGCGCCACCACCAGCTAGCCGCTGAGACGATCAGGTCCTTCTCCAACGTGGACTCCATGCCGCGGCCGGCCCTCAGCTTCGACGACCGCCGCAGGACGCAGGTGTTCCTCCGGGAGCACATACCCAGCACGTTCGCCATCGGCGGCTACGTCGTGCTGGCGGCGCTCTCCTCCGCCGCCATCCCGCTGATCTACAGGCAGGTGCGCTTCTACCACGTCGCCGCCGCGTACGCGTTCGCGCCGCTCCTGGCCTTCTGCAATGCCTACGGCACGGGCGTCGCCGAGACCAACTTCTCGGCGCAGTACAACAAGCTGGTGATCCTGCTGTTCGCGTCGTGGATCGGGGCCAGGAACGGCGGCATCGTGGGGAGCCTCGTCATCTGCGGCGTCGTGTCGGCCGTCGTGTCCACCGCCTCCGACTTCATGTCCGACTTCAAGACCGGGTACCTCACCCTCACCTCGCCGCGGGCCACGCTCCTGAGCCAGGTCATCGGCACGGCGATGGGCTGCGTCGTCAACCCGCTCGTCTTCACCGTGTTCCACCACTTCTACGAGTCCAACGGCAAGAAGGCAGTTTACGAGGCGCCCATGGCCAAGGTGTACCGCGCCATCGCCGTGCTGGGCGCCGGGGACCACGAGCTGCCCGAACACTGCGTCGCCATCAGCGTCGCCTTGTTCGCGCTGGCGCTGGCCGTGAGTGCGGTCCGGGAGCTGGCCACGCACAACAAGTGGCCTGCGCAGCATTACATCCCGAGCGTCACCGGCATGGCCGTCTCGTTCCTGCTGGTCCCGGCCGTCTCCATCGACATGTGCGTGGGGAGCTTGATCCTGTACATGTGGAACAGGACGGACAGGGAGGACGCGCAGGTGTTTGCGCCGGTGTTTGCGTCTGGGCTCATATGCGGGGACGGGCTCTTCTCAATTCCCTACGCGCTGCTCGCCAGGTACGACGTCACGCCGCCCATCTGCGTCAGGTTCATCGGCAGAGTGCAGAACAAGATGCTGGACACCTACATGGAGAAGGCCGCAGCATCCCGATGAACGCCCGCCCTCTCAACATGCTTGGCCTGTACATTCTTTCCTGCTGTCAGGCTTTAGTCATAGCCTGTGAAGTAAATCTAAAAGGATTTGCAAGAAGAGATTGTTTTATGGAGTGACTAAGAGATCTCCTGTAATTTTTTGACAGTTAAAAAGCTAACCTAGTACTATACTGCAATGAAAAGGAATCACCCACGACAGTTTTCTTAAAGAGGAATTCCATGAGCCAATTCAATGATTTTCGGTCTGTTCGGTTGGCTGGTTCGTTTCGTTGCTGGTTCGTGAAGAAGTACTGCTGACTGGTTTGTGTGAGAGAAAAATATTGTTCTGGCTAGAAATTTATGATCGTTTACGACAAACCACAGCCAAACGAACAGGCTGCTCTTCAACTTCTGTTCTCTGTACTTCATTAGTTTGGCTGCCTAGTGGGCTAGGTGTCGGTGTTTTGACCGGCGGGTCCTCAACCAACGAGTGAAAATGTACTGCGTGTCCCTATCCCAGATGGTGATGTAAAGAGACATAAGGTTTATACTAGTTTAGGCAATAGGTGCTCTACGTTTAGTCTGGGAGTGCGATCTTGTATTCCTTGCACCGAGGTGCTCGTAGTAGGGGTTTACAAGCAGGGCGAGAGAGGGAGCTAGTCCCAGGTCTCTACGTGAAGCGGCGTGGGTTGCTTGAGATGTTGATCTCTTGCAGTGAGGGAGTGTGCGTATTACAAAGTGTTGCTCGTTGCTTGCGTGTGTGTCTATGTGAGCGATGTCTCCGTGAGTGTGTGTCCGTTCGTCCTCCAGAAACGGCCCCGGTCACTCCCTTTTATAGTTGAAAGGGGGACAGGGGCGATACACGTGTTCGCTACATGGCGTTTTGTGAGCGGAGGCGGTATGTCTGAGCCCTACAGCTCGTGTTAGATGTGTGTTGGAATTACCCCCTCCGTGGGGTGCCTTGCTTCCCCTTTTATAAATGAAGGGGAAGATGCATGTTACATCGGAGAGAGAGAGAAAGAGACGAGTAGAGGAAGATTTCTGGGATTGCAACGTCTTCCATCTCCTTTACGCGGGCCCCGCCGACCCTGTAGATGACGACGGACGGCTCCACGTCACGGCCCTGTTCGTCACTGACGCCGTACGTAGGCGTCGTCAGCCGATCGTGGTGCTCTCTCCCTTCCCAGCGGACGGTATGGCTAGTTGATGTTTTCGCCTGAGGCCGTACTGGGAGTAGGTAGTACAGCGTCGGCACGCCCGATGCTGCTGGCGACGTGCGTCCTCAGACATGGCCCGTCGTGGCCGCAGGTCACGTCAA